GATAGAGAATAAAAGTAAACTCATGTCATTAGCTGTAGAGGTTACCCTTATTTTAGTTTGTCAGTAATTGCCATTTTCCTTTGTCATTTTTGTTATACAGTGCTGAGGATCAAACTCAGAGCTTGTATATACCACACAAACACTCTGTTTCTAGGCCATATCCTCAGACCCTGTTTGTTTGTTTGATACAGTATCTCACTGTCTAAGTTAAGCTAAGCTAAAACTCCATCCTTACTGCCTCCCAGATGCTGTAATGCAGGTCAGTTGTATGCAGCCACACCCAGGGCTGGCCTCACTCTTGAATACACCCTTTTATGTGCAGCCTAGTCAACCAGCAGGTTTTCTTTTCTGTTGACTATTTAAAGTTATTTATAAAATACAAGTGGTGTTTTGTTTTTCTATGACAACATCATACCTGTATATACAATGTATCTTAATCATATCTATTCCTAACTCTACTCTCCTATCTCTAATCTCCTATTTCCTCTAGAACCTGCTAGAACAGCATTTGCACCTTCATGTTCTCTTTCCCCCCCCCATATCTCTAAGTACAGTTAGTGCTGCTTGAATGTGCATGGTTGTGAGATCACCTACCAGAGCATGGCAACTCCAGAAGAAAATGGCTCCCCTTCCCCCAGCAAGCATAAACTGCCAAGAACTCCTTAGCCAGAGGTGGGGCTTCATGAACTCCTACCCCATCCATGCTGGAATGTTGCCTGGCTTGATCTTTGCAGATTCTCATAGCTGTTTTGAGTTAATGAGTACAGTAGCCACATCGTGTTGAAACAGCATTTCTTAACTTCCCTGAGCCTTGTGTGAGAAATAAGTTGGGAGTGGCAAAGAAAGAGACCACCACTCTAATTGAAGTGTCTCAACAAGGCAAATTTTTACTCCTCTAGAAGGGACACTGCTCATCAAAGCAATAGCAGGCATGTCTTTTCACCTTGACTGGGCTTGAACCTCATAGTCTTTCCAGATTGGCATATGTATATACAGAATGGGAAAGGGTTTACTGACCCAAGGAGAAAGGATTCACTGCTCTAAGGAGAATGGGGTCTCTGATCTAGGCTGTTTGGTTCTTGGAATGAAACAGGAGCTCTCGTGTACCGGGTGGGAAAGGATGAAAATATTAGCAAATGGGGGAAGATGAGCAAAGACTAATTTATTTGTGGTGTAGATGACTTATTTAAGGTTGAGCACTCGGGTTGCTTTCTCAGCACTTTGAGTCTTTACATTAAGTGCCACCCACTGTAAAAAGAAGCTTCTTTGACCATGATTGAGATACAGTCATGGATATGTTATATCTCAATATAATATATGTCTGTGGATATAAATATTTACCATTTAGCAAAATAGTAGTACTTGATTCCCCTAGAGTCTATGACCTCCACAACTCAGGGCCTTTGACCAATTTTATAGTACCACATAAAAAAAAATTAAAAATGTTTCCAATATAAAAGGTTTAAAGAATAAGAGCTATTAAGTATAACATTATATTTAAGAAATAAAGCCAGGCATAGGTGCCTTTGGAAGGCTGCAGCAGGAGGATCAAGAGTTTGAGGGCAGCCTAGTGAGACTGTGTCTTAAAAAGAAAACAAACAGAACAATCAACAGCAGCCCAAAAAACTATAGTAGAAACTCCTCTTACTTTGTGTGTGTGTGTGAAATTTTCTTACCCCCATAGATATGCCCATAGTCACAGTTTGCTGGTTATTATATCAATCTATGTCTTTATACCTAAGCATGAACCAACAAGTGGTATATAATTATACTATGTAGTATTACATTTTAGGAACTTTATAACCCCCTGGGCAGAAGTCCAAAAGATTGAATCTAGAAACATAAAAGAGATTAAATGCCATGAACAAGTTTAGTTAATCCCAGGAATGCAAAAGTGGCTTTTCATAGCAAAATTAATATGTCACATTAATTGAATAAAATACAGGAGCTGGGATGTAGTACTCCCTAGCTATCACCATATAACCAGGTATGATAGCACAGTCTTGTAATCTCCAAAGTAGGAAATGGAGACATTAAGATTTTTGTTTTTGTTTGTTTTCAGACAGGGTTTCTCTGTGTAGCCCCTACTGTCCTGGAACTCACTTTGTAGATCAGGTTGACCTTGAACTCACAGAGACCTACCTGCCTCCGATATATATTGAGGCCAGCCTGAGCTTCCATGGTACTGTCTTAAAAAAGAAAAAATGAAACACTGCGTTTTTAAAAAGGCAAATCGGGCCAGGGATTTGGTGCCTGTAACAGAAGCCAAACAGCATGGGTTTAATTTTCCAGACACACATTTTTAAAAAGGCAGGTGTGTCTACATCTGTAATTCCCAAATTCCCACTGGGAGTTGGGAGGCAGAATCAGGGGAATTGACTGAACCAGGAGCTATAGCCAGGCAGGACTCTACCTCAGGAACAAGATGGAAGGAGAAAAGTGATTCTTTTTTTGTCCTCTTCCACAAATACATACAGTGGCACATGCACACCTGTAAGTAAGATCAATTTAAAAGAGGCAGATGGCATGGGACACCTGTAACCCCTTGGGAAGCTGAGGCAAAGGGTTCCTAGAACCTAGGAGTTCAAGGCCAGCAGGCAGCATAGTGAGACCTTGTCTTAAAACAAGAAACCCTGGTGATGGTGGTAATTGGTACCTTTAAGCCCAGCACTCAGGAGGCAGAGTCAGGCAGATTTCTGAGTTTGCGGCTAGCATGTCCTACAGAATATTGTTTTTAAACATAAAATCCCAACATCTGATTTTACAGTCTTTACTCAGGAGCCAGATGCTGGGGTGAAAGCCTACTATCTCAGAGAGGCAAAGAAAGCACCCAGTTGGTCTTCCTACTCAGCTGACATCCCAGAAGGAAAAGGCACTTTCTACTTCTCCACACTGTCTTAACTCCCCTCAACTCAGTGCCCCTCATTTCTTTTTACTTATGTTCACTCCCTTTGGACTGATTGCTTGCTCAGCCTCTTGACCTATGGTTGTGTGCTAGGCCTGAGCCATACCATAAGAAACAGGTTTTTTTTTCAGTTCATAATCTCGGGGTTTACAATGTGATGAAATAACCTGCAACAACAGTGAGTTCCAGGACAGCCAGGGAGGACTACACAGAGAAACCCTGTCTCAAAAAATCAAAACAAACCAAACAAAAACCAGGTAGAATAACTGAATGTTCATGCGTCTGTGGTGTGGATATTTAGATGGTACAACTGCTTTGGAAAATAGTGTAGGGGCCAGATAGATGGCTCAGTAGTAAAGGTGCTTGTGGTTAAGCCTGAAGACCTGAGTCCATTTCCTGGAACCTACTTAGTGGGAGGAGGGAACTGAGTCCCACAGGTTGCTCTTGGACCTCTACATGTAAGCCGTGGCACACCACACATCCCTTCTCCCACCAGTAAACCAATGTAAACAGACATGTATGAAAGAGAGTAGTTTGAGCCGGGTGGTGGCACTTTAATCCCAGCACTGAGAAGGCAGAGGCAGGCAGATATCTGTGAGTTCAAGGCAGCCTGGTCTACAGAGTGAGTTCCAGGACAGAGTTCCAGTTCCAGTACACAGAGAAACCCTGTCTCAGAAAACCCAAAAAATTAAAAGAAAGTAGTTTGAAAGCTTCTCAAAAAAGTAAATGTAGGGGCTGGGAATTTAACTCAGTTGGTGAGAGTGCTTACCTAGCATGTATGAAGCCTTTGAATCCATCCCGTGGGCTTAGGGGCTAGGCTTAGAGCTAGTACCATTGTTACCATAAACTAGCAGATCCACTCCTAGGACTCTACCCAAGGAAATGAAAGCACATCTACATAGAAACTATTATTATTTATGGTAGCCCCAAAGTGGAGACAGCGTAAGTGTCTGTTACCTACTAAGCAAAAGGTGATATATATTTATATGATGCAATGTTTACAGCTATGAAAAGGAAAAAACCCAACATGGATGAAAGTTGAAAATATGCCAAGTGAAGGGAGCCAGATGAAAGGGCCATAAGTATAATTCTATATTTTTGTTTTGTTTTGTTTGAGACATGGTCTCATTATATAGTTCTGGCTGTCCCTGAACTCACTGTGTAGACCAGTCTGGCTTCCCAGAAATCAACCTGCCTCTCTCTCCTGCCACCACACCCAGCCATGATTCTGTTTATTTGAAATGTTGGGAATAGAGAAAGGCAGACTTGGCTGGCAGGCAAGGGGAGTGAGGGAAGTGTCTGAAAATAGATACCCAATTTTGCAAATAGTCTAAAAATTACTGAATTGCATATTGCAAAGGGGTGAATCTTCTGATGTGTGGATTATATTTCAATTTGAAAACAAGGAAGACAATAATATCGGAAGAAGACAATCCACAAAAAGGAAGCAGAAAATTTTTCCTGGTGGTATAATCTCAATATTCAGGAAGATGGAGGTAAGAAGATGGAAGTGTAGTTCAGAGTCAGCTGGGCAATATAGATGAGATCCTGTGTCACAAAAGAGGTGGGAGCATCAAAGGACATACCATTTACAAGCCTTGGTGGTAATATTTGAAGCTGGCTTAGCTTCTTAGTCTTCCTTGATACGTATCATCTCTGTCTCTCTCTGCTGCCCTCAGCGTGATTTCTAGTTTCTGGCCTGCTTTAAGACCTTCTGGACTTGAAGTGCAGTTAGGTGACAGGAATCAAGTACCTACACATACGTGTGCATGCAAAATAAAAACACCGCAAATAAATGTTTAAAAAAATTTTTTTAAAGTTATTTGAGGCTATGTGCCAGGGCTTGAACACTTTTTGTATAATTTTTTTTTTCTGACCAAGTTGAGATAGTACTCTTATTTTTCTGCATTTTATAGATTTAGAAATAGTAACTGGGTAAGTAATTATTCTAATTACAAGTGTTAGACTAATATTCAAGCTTAACAATTCAGCATTTATTCACTGAGGTAGCATGCTGTTTCCTACTACGCCTGCCTTTCTGCAGGTCTTTGGACATTTCATTTCATGGGCACCATGCTTGTTTCTGTCTTTCCAGGTCCATTAATGAGATGAAACGGTTGGAAGAAATGTCAAATATATTTCAGCGTTCTGGAGTTGAAAATCACCCTCCCGAACAAAAGTCCCCAGCAGAAGAGAGTGAAGAGTCGAAGGACAAAGAGGAACCATGGGAAATGGTGATGGACAAGAAACACTTCAAGTTGTGGCGGCGCCCGATTACAGGCACCCACCTTTACCAGTACCGAGGTGAGCCATGCCCTGCCGCCTGGGACATGGGTCTATGGTGCTCAGGCATGCATCGCCTTGTACGAGTTCCTTGTAGGTCCTAAACTGTTCTATCCTGACTCTACCAAAGAAAATTTGCCAAACTTTTGTTAGTTTTCCTCTCCCAGCTGAGGAGCTTTTTATATTCTTCCTTGATACATGTCATCTCTGCCTTGCTTTGCTGTTCCCTACCTCTCCCCCCACCCCTCTTGTCGTTCTAGTTTTGGGAACATACACAGATGTGACACCCCGGCAGTTCTTCAATGTTCAGGTGAGTTCATTTTCTCTACAGATTTGAAGCTTTCTGGCTTCGTGAATGACTGTAGCCTCAGCACTTGGGAAGGCGAAGCAGGAGACTTGCCACAAGTTAGAGGCAAGCCTGGGTTGTGTAACAAATACAGGGCCAGTCGGGGGTTCACAGCAAGACCCTTCCCCGGGTTAAAACAAAAATTAAAAACAAAAAAGTTGAACATGGTGGCACATACCTTTAATCCAAGCACTAAGGAGCCGGAGGCAGGGCATGGATCTCTGAGTTTGAGGCTAGACTGGTCTATACAGCTAGTTCCAGAGCTACTTAAATAGAGAGATCCTGTCTCAACAAACAAACAAAAACCCAATAAAAGTAAAACAGAAGTGAGAAGGGAAGGTAAGAGCACCCCAGATACTACATAGAACTTTCTTTTCTGATATTTCCATTTTAAAAATTTAATTAAAATTGGTATACAGCTGAATGTCATGCAATGCACCTTTAATCCCAGCACTTTGGAGGCAGAGTTCAAGGCTAGCCTGATCTATGTAGGAAGCCCAGGACTGAATAGAGAGACCCTATCTCAAAAAAACAAAATATAGCTGGGCGGTGGTAGTGCATATTTTTAATCTCAGCACTTGGGAGGCAGAGGCAGGCAGATCTTTTGAGTTTGGGGACAGCCAGGACAACACAGAGAAACTCTGTCTCAAACCAACCAACCAAACAAAAATATAAAATAAGTATGCAAAGAATTAGGCTTTTTAATGGTATTTTTAAATGCAATTTGTTTTTGCTGGTCCTCCTCTTCCCCTCTCATTTTCTCTGTTCTTCCTCTGTCCCCCTCTTGTATATTTCTACCCTTGGCAACCCCTTTCAACTTTCATATCATACGTCTTCTATTATCTTTGGTGCTTTCATCAATACCTTTTTTCCTGGACTCCTCTCTGGTTTCATGACTTATACCTATACTCACACACTCTTATTTATACATACATAAATGTTAAAAGATAGGATCTGCATATGAGAATGTGGCATTTGTTTTTTTAGTCTGTTACCTTGCTTAATATAATTTCCATCTTCATCTTCCTGAAAGTTTTACAATTCCATTTTTCTTTTTGGCTGAATAAAAATCCCATTGTATATAAGTACCTCTTGTTTACAGCCCATTCATTTGCTTCAGTTTTCTTCCTTTTATGAATGGTGCAGAAGTAAACATCTATAGTAAGGTATAGAGTATAGAGGGTATATGCCCCAGAGAGTGGTGTGGTTGGGTCATATGGTGGTTCTGTTTTTACTTTTTCTTTTTTAGAAACCTCCATACTGATTTTCATAATAGCTATACCAGTGCATAATTCTACCAGCAGTGCGTAAGGGTGGCTTTCCTTGCCATCATTTGTTGAGATTTTTGCCAAGTTTTCAATGACTAGTTTGTTGACTGTAACACCCAGTGAAGCTTCCCTGGGACAATGAGTTTAAAGCAGCCTGATCAACTTAATGAGACTGGGGAAAGAGAGCATTGCATAGGGTGCGCAGGTTTGACTCCCAGAACTGCAGCAACAGTGTACCCACCAAAGATATCAAGTGCACTTTGATCTAGACACTGGATTTTGTCGTTCTGTGTTTGGTTTTGATGCACGCAAATTGTCTGTTATTTAAAGTTCCTTAGTTACTTGATAGGCCAGAAGATGAGAAATGTCTCCTGAATTTCTATGCCTCAGGTCTGCTCATTCTTTGAGACTTTTATTCTGTTTAAAGTGATTTAGAATTCTCATATCTTTATGCATTAAATGTTCTATTTTCTCCAGACATCTCCTTTTCTTTTTAAAATTTTGTTATTGTTACTGTGGGGTTGAGGGCACATGTGTGGCTTTAGGGGCCAGGGGACAACTCTGTAGAGTTGCTTCTCTCCTTCCACCTTAATGTGGGTTCTGTGTATTGAATTCAGGTTGTTAGGCTTATATAGTCAGGCAGTGTTCTAGTTCCATCCTGCTGCTGTGATAAAACTGACCAAGAGGCCGCGGGGTTGCTGTGAGTTTGAGGCCAGTCTGGCCTACAAAGTAAGTCTAGGGCAGCCAAGGCCTCACAGAGAAAGCCCTATCTTGAAAAACAAACAAACAAAAAAAGGAAGTCTGACCAGAAGCAACTTAGGGGACAAAAGAGTTTCTTTTAGTTTATAGGTTTTAGTCAATGAATACTCTTTATTTCCTCTCTTCTGGCTCATTTTAGCTTGCTTTCTTATATAGTCCAAGACCACCTTCCCAGGGTTGGTACTGTCCATAGTGAGCTGGGTATGCCTGGGTCAACTAACAATCAAGACAGTCCCCCTTAGACATGCCCACAGGCCAGACTTATCTGGACATTCTCTTCTCAAGTGACTCTGGGCTGTGTTAAGTTGATGGTTGAAGCTAACTACAACAGGTGGTTACCTACTGAGCCATCTTGCCAGCCCTATTCTTGAGACATTTCTATTGCAGAGTTTTTGTGTATGTGCATAAATATACACCTATGATAATGGGAACTGAACATAAGCTGTCAAAACTTACTAAACAAGTAATCACTAACCCCCAGCTTCATCTTCAGTCTTTTTGGGGAGAGGTTTCCCTGTGTGAGTCCAGTATTGCTTTGAACTTTTGATCTTCCTTCTTGAATTACTAATATGTACAGGCATGTGCCACCAATGTCCGGTTGAATTTTTAAGACTTCTCTGTAGGGGGCTGGAGAAGTGGCTCAGTGGTTGAGAGCACTGTCTGTTCTTCTGGGGAACCCAGGTTTCTAGCACCCACATGGTGGCTCACAACTCTCTGTCACTCCAATCCCAGGGTCTCCAACATCTTTTGGCCTCCATGGGTACAAGGCAAGCATGCACATGGTGCAGAGACAGGAATGCAGGCAAAACACTATGTACATGAAAGCTTAAAAAGAGAGAGAGAGAGATTCCCTCAGAAGACTGGGAGAATCACTCAGTGGGTAAAGTTCTTGCTGATTAAATATGAGTCCAAATCCCCATATCACCCATGTAGAATCTGAGTGTGGCAGTGTATAGTGTATCTGTAACTAACCCTACCACTGGTCAGAAGAGATCCCCAGAGATTGCTGACCTAGCCAAACCAGTGAGCCTCAGGTTCAGTGAGAGAGCTTATCTTAATAGAGAGTGATAGAAGACATTCAGCATCAATCTCGGGCCTACACATACACAGGCGCACACATGAAAATGTGCACCCTTACACATAGACATAAGAATCCCCTTCAGTGTATGTGAGAGCCATCTGATTAACAGCCGCGCCTCTTACATGTTGGCACAGTGGAGTCAAATCACTACTTTTCCGTAATGTCCTTAAGTCAGAGATCCAGCCTCCCAGAGACACTTCTGCATCTTTGTTTTGGATCTTCCTTTTTGCAGCTGGACACAGAGTACAGGAAAAAGTGGGATGCCCTTGTGATCAAGCTAGAGGTGATTGAGAGAGATGTCGTCAGTGGTTCTGAGGTTCTGCATTGGGTAACACATTTTCCTGTGAGTCCTTTTACTTTGGTTTTATTTCTGTCAAATCTGTGATACAGAATACTAATCTTGCCCACCTCCTTTTTTAGTATCCAATGTACTCTCGGGATTATGTTTATGTTCGACGCTATAGTGTGGATCAGGAAAACAATGTGATGGTCTTGGTGTCACGGTATGTGTAGCCGCTGGAGCCCTTGTTAAATTCCTGTGCCTTCACCCATCTGTTCCTTTGCACTTACCTTCATGAATGCCCTGCAGGTTTCCTAGCAGCCAGTGCCCGTCCATCCCTACTTGGGAAATAGGCTGTGATCCATCAGGAAGACTGGAGGAATAAACACTTTCAACCTTTTGGGGGGTGGGAGTGAGTATTGAGGGTAGAACCTAGAGCCTTACTCATGCTAAGCAAGCACGGTACTACTCAGCCAGTGGCTCTCAACCCTCCTAATGCTGTAACCCTTTAATACAGTTCCTCATAACTAATCTTGATATTGTTGTGAATTATAATGTAAATATTTGTGTTTGAAGGTCTTAGTGACCTTTGTGAAAGGGTTATTTGACCCCCTCCCTAAAAGGGGTGGAGACCCATAGGTTGAGAGCCACTGTGCCTAAATTTAAGTTTTAATTAAATTTTGTGGCCTGATTTAAAAAAAAGAACCAGAAGTACAGCTTTTGAGCCATATATTACAATATCAAAGAAACTTACAAATTACAGCCTGAGTTGTATTCATTTATTTTATTAACTGCTTGGTTTGGTTGAGTCAGTGTTATGGAGTTGCGTCCACTCCCTGCCCACCTTCCCCCACCATGGCTCACACTGGTTAACGACAGTCAGTCATCCCGTTTCCCTTACAGTGCGGTGGAACACCCGAGTGTGCCAGAGTCTCCAGAGTTCGTCAGGGTCAGATCCTATGAATCCCAAATGGTTATCCGTCCTCACAAGTCATTTGATGAGGTAAGTTTTACCTCAGAGATGAATGCTGTAGCTTTGGAATTTTTTTCAAGGAATGCTTTTGTTTGAACTGGAGACAGGAGATTTGCCAGAGCGTGTGCATTAGCATCAGCTGGAACTTGTTACGTATATTGTGGCCCCTAGTCTCACTCTCTGATTGTTTCCAGGGTGACTGGAAAATTTATGCTTTGGGGGCTAGAGAGATGGCTCAGTGGTTAAGAGCCCTTGTGCTGGGCCGTGGTGGTGAACACCTTTAATCCCAGCATGCGGGAGGCCAGAGGTAGGTGGATCTCTTGAGGAAAACCTATCTCACGAAAGCAGTCAGGTTTGGTGGTGCACGCCTATGATCCCAGCACTCTGGGAGGCAGAGGCATGTGTGTCTCTAAGTTTGAGGACAGCCAAGGTTACACACAGAAACCCTGTCTCAAAACAAACAAGACAAAACAAAACAAAAATAACAGCTGAGGAGAGATATGCATTAGAATCAGCTGGAACTTGTTAGGTACATTATGAGCCCTGGTCTTTCTGGTGGTTTCTTCTGAGTTTTATAGAATTCTAGAGGTCACTAACAAATTATTTTATTGTTACCTGTTTTTTGAGACAGTCTTCTATAGCTCAGGCCAGCCTGGCTTGAAACTTGCTGTGTAGTCCATGCTAATGTCTGACTCACAGTCCTCTTGCCTCGGCTCCTGTGTGCACAGCTACATCTGCTCATTGGTCAGTTCTTGCTGTTGGAGTTTTGTTCAGCGAGTTCTTTGCTTATACTAGTATCTTGGATTCCCTTCCCCTAGCACTTTCAAAGTTTCAGGTTTTTGTTTTTGTTACTTTTTTTTTTTATTTTTTTTGAGGTAGGGTGTTTCTACTTAGCCTGGCTATCCTGGAACTTGCTTTATAGACCAGGCTGGCCTAAGACTCAGAGATGCTTCAGCCTCTGCCTGCCAAGTGCTGGGATTAAAGGTGTGCACTACCATGTAGAGCTTGAATTGATTTCTGTATAGGGAGAGACATGAGGGCTTATTTTCATCTTATACATGTGGGTGTCAGTTCTCCTAACACTGTCAAAGAAGTTGTCTTTTTTATTGTTATGTTTTTGGCACTTTTGTTGAAAATCAGCCTGAAGCTGAAGGGTTTATGTGTCAGTCCTTTGTTCTTATCGTATACTAGTAGCATGTTTTTGTTCATAGGGCTTTGTAGTATGATTTGAAATCAGAAACTATAATAACTCTACCATTCCTCTTTGTTTGTACCAAGGATTGCTTTGGCTATTTGGGGTCTTGTTGCTTTCATTCAAACTAGGATTTTATTTTATTTTTCTGTTTGTGTAAATAACTTGGTGTGGATTGCATTAGATGTGTACATCTTTTGATGATGTAGTTGTTCTTCTCCCCCCACTCCCTATGGTACATGCATGTATTATGTGTCTGGCTTCCGTGTGCCCGAGTGTGCCCAGAGGTCAGAGAAAGACATCAGATGTCTTCTAGCACTCTCTTCCCTGGGGTCTTTCACTGACCCCGGAGCTTTTTGGTAGGCTGACTGCCCAGTAAGTCCCAGCCATTCTCTTACCTCTGCTCACTCTCCCATCTCATCATCTAGCACTGTGGTTACAGGCACGTGTGAGCCCAGCATATGGGTGCTGGAGATCTAAGCTAAACAGCAAGCATCATTCTTACTCTCTGAACCATCTCAGCCCGATGAAGCCATTTTCAGTGTTCTGCTGGTCCATAAACATGGGTGTGTTCCTCTCTTCTCTTGTCCTTTGCTATTTGTAGCCCTCCCTTTTTTCCTCCTTTCCTTACTGCTAGATTGCCCTTTGAACACTATACTGAAAAAAAATAGAGAGTCCTCTGGAGCTTTCTTTTTAGTTAATGTTTGTATCCAGTTTTGATATCAGGATAATGTTAGCTTTATAGAATGGGTTTGGTAGCTTTTCTTCCCTTTCTATCTTAAGAGGTAGGCCAGGCAGGTTCCCAGAAACTTTGGAGGCTCTCAGGTTTTCATGCTCAGAGGAAACAAATAGCAGAGAGGTCTGCATTGGAAAGGGAGGCACTCAGCCCTCAGGACTCTCACTTTTTTCAGAACCCATCTAGCAGTGAGCCATCCTACAAGGAAAAAGGTTCTAGAAATCCAGCAGTGTGCTAGACTTAGGCTCAGGGTTTGCAGTCTTGCCTGGCAGCAAATCACAGGTGACCAGGAGGCATCTCTAGAGGCTATGGAAGACGTGCAGTTGCTGGCCACACCTCTGAGTGTCTGCAGCACTCAGGTTATAGAACTCTCTTCTGGCACGAAAGGTGGGGCCACTTACCGCTGAGACCTCCACAGCCTGAGCCCCTGCTGCCTGAACTTCTCAGTATGTCTGTGTCTGACCCATCCCTCTCCAGGACTGCTGCTCATGGCCATCTACCTTGCAGATACTAGCAATTGGTTCCAGACTTTCTGAGTTTAGGTGTTCCTTGTTTTCAGGTCCCCAAAGGCTCAGTTTCAAATAGTAGTCCACCCCTCAGAGGACCCTGACTGTAGCTCTTTGGGGAGTGACAAAATGGGTTTGCACTCAGGAATCATGACTGTCAACACCAAGTCTACCTACTGACGCTAAGGCTTATGCGTACTGGTCTTATGGGTAGGCCCACCAGTTTGTTGTGACCAGAGCTCCTTCATGGCTTTGGCTCCCTTTTCTGCCCTGCAGGGGAGAAGGCTAGAGTAGTGCTGTTGGCCCTTTCCCTACATAACTTTCTGGTTCCTCTGCTGTTTGGGTTGTGATTTCTGATTTTTCCCTTTTCTCTCTCTCTCTCTCTGGAATGTGGTCTGCCCTTGTTCACCCTGCCTTTTTTTCACTCACAGAGTCACGTGGAATAAGAAGCTTCTAATCTGCCGTCTGTACTGAATTTTTGCTTTTTGTTTTGTATTTTTCAAGGCAGGATTTCTCTAGTTCTTACTGGCTTTGAACTCACTCTGTAAACCAGGCTGGTCTCAAACTCACAGGGAATCTGCCTCTGCCTCCCAAGGGATTAAAGATAAATTCTTTATTCTGCTTTTGAATTGTGTCTTTGTGTGGTGGTTAGTTCTAAATGACAACTAAGAATCTTGCCCACAGAGAATCACCTGGGAAGAGAGACTGAATGAAGGATTTGCCTGGATCAAGTTGGTGTTTGGCTTTTTAAATCGTTTATGTGAATGAATGTTTTGCCCTCATGTGTGTCTACATACCACCTCTGTGCCTGGTGCTGGCTGAAGTCAGAGGTTGTCGGATTCGGGACATGTGATTCAGGTGGTTGTGAACCACCAGGTAGTGCTGGAAATCAAAGCTGGGTCTCTGCAGATGCTCTTAAGCACTAAGCCATCTCTCTATCCCCTCCTTTAAACATGTTTTTGCATTTATTCATTTATTGTGGGTAGAAAGGCATGCATCTACCTTGGATACACTAAGGTTGTCAGTCTTGACAGTAAGCATAAGCCCCGGGAGATTCTCATGCTGTAATTGAGGTGGGATGGGAGACCACTGTGAGTGTGGGCAGCACAGGTCAGTGACTGAAGAGGGGGCTGGAGAGTTGGCTCAGAGGCCCTCTTCCCACAGTCCTTATCCTATTGGTTTAGAATGCAGAGCTTATCCAGTGAATAATTGGGGCTTGGAACTACTCCCTTTTCTATCATGGGCTGCAGCCTGTGACATCCCAATTCTCAGTTTGAGACAAACAGCTAGAGGCAAGAAGAGCCCAGCCCCTCCTTATTTGAACTGAACTCTGAGCAGATCTCATACTGAAAACAGACCATAATTATATCTTACAATTTCCTTCTCTTTTTCTTTAATTATTGATCTTTTCAGATTTGCTTTTAACTTTTCCTGTCATTAATTTATTAGTAAGGGTAGGCAATCCTCCCAAGGAGCATGGTTATTATTCCATCAGGAACTGTGTTCTTTAAAGTGCAGCATCGTTCACCAAGCATGACACAAGCATCTGCCTACTGTTAGTGTCATATTAAGTGTGATCTTGAAGCCAGGCACCGTGGAGCATGCCTGTAATCCCAGCTCTCTGAGAGGCAGAAGCAGGTGGATCTCTGTGTGAGTTCAAGGCCAGCCCGATTTTACAAAGTGAGTTCAGGACAGCCAAGGCTGTACAGAAAAACCCTGTCTCAAGAAACCCAAAAGAAAAAAAAAAAGAAGTGTGATCTTGTTTTCTAGAGCCATTCAGCTGATGGCATCCAGCTGGATAGACACTCATTTAAGGACATCCCTGCCTTAATTGATAAATCCTTATTAATTATTTTTTCTTGTTAATTATTATTAAAAATATTAGATTTATGTATGTGTATAATAGGAAAAGCTAATAGGAAAAAAAATGTTCAACTTATTTTTTTTTTATCTGAAAACTATTCTGTATCATTTTAGACTTTTAAAAACACTCCTTAGGTTCTAAAAATTAAGCAAACCAGGGATCCCCTTCAGGAAATGGGAAGTCTTAAGGCTGGATTGGTTCAATCATTTTTCTTTCTGAATTCTGAACTAGAAATATTCTTTCAGTTAGAGGCGTTTGTTTCACAATAACACAAGCAAATGATATGCAGCATTTATCACAAGGAAAACAAAGTGTGCCCCGCCAGTGCTATGTCCTTTATGTAGTGAGATATTATCAAGTCCTCTTCAGGATTGACTTTTAAAGCTCCCTGGACGACCCTTATGATTCTCTTTGATCTTCCCTTTTGGATCCTGGAGCTTCTTTGGTTGGCATCTTGACTTGGAAATAGTTGGTTCACTTCTTTTCAGCAGCCTATCCAGTTCTTGTGAGAGGAGCATTTGTTAAGAACCCTCTCAGGTAGTGGTAGTGGTGCACATAGGAGGGAGAGGGAAGTGGATCTCTTAAGTTTGAGAGCCTCACCTGGGCTACACAGAGAAATCCTGTCTCAGAAAACAAAAAATATGTGCTGGTACTTGTCTTCTCCAGGTTTTTATCAACACCAAGTCCTCAGGCTAGAGCTGGTGAACTGCTAGTGGGGCTGTTGTGTTATGCGCACAGTACTCAGCCATGTATAACACATTGGGTTTTAAAGCCTTGTCTTTGTAGTTTTTCCAACCATCTCAGGTCCGGTTAGGCTGTTTTTATTTGTTTGTTTGTTTGTTTGTTTTGTTTTGTTTTTGTAGTAAACATACAGTAATTTTTTTGGGGGCAGTGTGTATATCTGTTGCCTTAGGCATTTATGTTTTTCGGTGGACAACATTCAGTCTTGTCTCTTAACTGTTTGGAACCCAGGGGTTGTGAAGTGTGCTTTAAGTGTAAACATTTCAGCTCTGAGAGCAAAAGGTATCCTGGCAGTCGGGAGCCAGGGAATATCACAAATACTGCACACAGTGTTGCAGCGCTGAAGGAAAGGCTTTCTGCACAAAACTGCTACAGCTCTGCTCTGAGCGGTCTCCTGGCATTTGGGAGCCACGGAACACCACAAAGTCATACTGCACAACAAACCTCACATGAGATTTATTGGTGGGAGAAAGCCTAGGAGGGTTGGTTGGGTGAGAAGAAACAGGGAACTGAGCAGAAGGCAGAGTTTTATGTGGGGTTTCTTGGAGGGTGGAGCCTGCTAAGGTTGAGGATTGATGGGTTTCAAATTTCAAGACCTGCACTGAAGATGGGCTTAGCGATTGGTAGGCATGTTTCTTCGTCCTGATGTGGGCTTGAGTCAAGTCAGGGTCAGGGTGTTCGCTGCTTGGTTCTTTTACCCTTCAGTAACAAACCGCAAGAGATTTATGGGAGGGTGGTTGCTTGTGCTCTAGAAAGAAGCAGAAGACAGGGTCAGGGTTTATATAGTAGCTTTTGTGGGTGGGGTGCAGAGATTTCCAGGGTGGGGATTGGTGGGATTTCAAGTCCAGAACTTTCCTCAGAAGGAGTCTGGCCCTAGGGGGCTTACAATAAGGACAGTAGCACTTACTCTCCTGTTCAGCTGCGTTCTGTAGGTGGTAAGCATCTTTCACATTTCCCTCTCCACAACAGATTGTTGATTTTTCATTTTGGGATTTTGAGGTAATTGCTTTTTAAATTTAATTGTGTATGGGCATTTTGCCTGCTTTTATATCTGTCTGCTGTGTGCATGCCATGTGCCCTTGGAGACCAGAAGAGGGTGTCAGATTCTTTAGAACTGGAATTACAAATGATTGAGCCACCATGTGCATGCTGGGAATGGAGCCCCTGTCCTCTTCAAGGATGTTCTTAACTGCTGAGTCATCTCTGTAGTCCCATAATGCTCATTTTGTCATGTAAGCAGCCTTTGTGGTGGGTCTGGTTGTGTTCTTATTATGTGGCTTTTACTTCTTTCTGCATACTTCCACAGGGCTCAGTATGGATTTCTGCTAGAGCATCTTTCATTTTTTCCCTCAGTACTAGGGATTGAACCCAAGGCCTCACATTGAGGAGCGGCTCCACCGCTGAGGTGCAATACCAGCTAGGCCACTTTGTCTTCATAATCAGAAGCTCCTGAGGGCAAGGACTAGAGCTGATGTGTTTGTTATGCAGCACCTAGCAAAGTGCCAACACAGCAGGCGTTCAAATATATGCTAAGAAAATGAACAGCAACTTAGTGATATACTTTCGAACAGGGCTGGGAGGGTAGGTTTTGCTATTAAAATATTAGGCCAAGTCCTGATGCCGCTGTTTTTACTATGTGGCTAGAACATTTGTTCTTTATTCCTTCAGATAGAACACAGCTGCTCCCTGCTTCTCTTAGGGTCATTGTTTTGTTCGTTGTAGCCTCATTTCCTGTGTCTGCCTGCTGAGTGCTAGGACTGCAGATGCGTGCCACCATACTCGCAGGACCAGAGCACTCTAACCACCTCAATAATTCTGGGTCCTTTTTGGTGTTAGTTATGAGAGGGTTGAGCCAACGAACAGTAGGTGTGTAGGCCTGGTGGTCAGTTTTTCATTTCTCACTTTTGTGTCCAAGCTGCTCAACTGTAAAATGGAAGAGGGTGGTATGTTATAGCCTGCAAGGACCTAAGGCAGCTCCAGCTCCATAGTGTTAGCAAGAAGAGCAGAAGGGGAAGGTGAGATCTTGAAGTTGTAAACATTAGGCATCTGTATTGGGTCCTCAAGGTTACTCCGTGTGTAAAGATTTGCTAGAAAGGCCTTTGCTAGGACCCAGCAAATAGTATACTCCTAGCTAAAATTTAGTATAGTCACATTAGTAAGGGTACACAGCTGGATTATGAAAGAAAAAGACACAGAATAATCTTGAGGAGTTGACATGAGGCTTTCTTCTCACCAAAATACAACCGCGTGTGCTTGATATTTTGACCAGAAAACTGTTAGAGACTTAGTACCAGAAATTTCACCAGAAACTAATTTCATAGCACCATTTATTTAACATATAAGTTTTGGGTGCCCATGAAAAAAATCCGTCTTTAACAGAGGCCATGTGATTTGGGCACGGGAAACTTCCTATTATTTTGACCATTTACCGGGAACAAGATGGTCAAGGGCCTTTCTGTGAACATGAGCATCCGGACTGTAGTGTATATACATGCACAGGGCCTGCTGTACTTCTAGCTGCAGTAATTGGTCATGGCTGCTCTGGTACTGAATGTAGACGTTGCTGCTATGAGTCATCCAGGGGTCCTCATCTTTGCTATTTTTCTTCTCCAGAATGGCTTTGACTACTTGCTAACATACAGTGACAATCCACAGACAGTGTTCCCTCGGTACTGTGTCAGTTGGATGGTTTCCAGTGGTAAGTAAGGGTGCGCAAAGGGTCTGAACCTGAGATGAACCATTTGGTTTTTCTCTCCTAGTGGCAACAGGAGGGTTGGTGCTTTTTGTAGTCATGTTGGGGGAAATTTGGAAAATCTTCCCATTTCACTCTAGCCTTTAAATGGGATTTGAAGGATTAAGAAAAACGAGTGCTGAGAAGGATTTTTTGTTTGTTTGTTTGTTTGTTTGTTTGTTGTACCCAGAGGAGAGTTTTTAAGACATTTCCTTTGATGCCTTATATGGAGATGGTGTGCATAGATGTACTTGTATGTTTTTACTTGGTAGTATTGAATGGCTAGGTTGGTAGTGCACTCCTGTAACCTTAGTAGTGAGTGCAGGAGCTGAGGCAGGAGGATCAAGGCCTAGTGAGAGCCTCCAGTGAGAGCCTGTCTGATAAAACCGTCATATTGAAGGCTATGAGATCTGGCCAGCAAGACTTAGTTGTAGGCCCTTACTTAGGGAAAGGGCTGCCGCCTGACAGGCTACATGTTATAGCTGTAATCACACCTTCCACATCTTAAGAAAGCATTCTCCTGTGCGTTTCATTGTTTTTATTGGGGTTTTTCTTTTCTTTTTGTTTTTGAGAAGATCTGTGTAACGCAGGCTGGTTTTAAATTCCTGATCCTCCAACTTCAACCTCTCAAGTGTTAGAATTACTGGTATAAGATGCCATGCCTGACTCCTCATACAGTTTTCTTTTTTTTCTGGTTCCTCAGGAGGAGGGTGGAAAATTATATTTCTGTGTTCACGTATATGAATTAAATGATAGTTGTTTTATTATGTCACTAAGTGATATTTTAATCATTTAAAAAGAGACATTTGAGATTACAGTGGATCAGTGATCCTTGATTCAGAATTGTAGTTAGCTTTACAACCTGTGCGCAGGGAAGCATTCTGGGAGGCAGCTGTCACTCACAGGTTTCATAGGCTTTTTGCCTGCATTAGAGTGAATAGGCTCTGGTTTTCAGCCTGTTGCTGGCTTGTATGACAGGTGTTCTAATTTGCTTTCTGTTGCTCTAATGAACACCATGGCCCAAAAAAGCAACTTGGGGAGGAAAAGGTTTATTTTACCTTATAGCCTGTATCCACCATGAAGTCAGGGTAGGAACCCGGTGGCATCAATTGAAGTGGAGGCCATAGAGGAATACTGCTTACTGGCTTGCTCTCCATGGCTTGCTCATCCTGCTCTTTTGTACAACCTAGGACCACCTAACTATGCACTGTGAGTTGGACCCTTCCACACCAACCATTAATCAAGATAATATCCCCACATACTTTCCTAGAAGTCACTTTTTGAGACAGGATTTCTCTGTGTAGTTCTGATTGTCTTAGAACTTACTCTGTAGACCAGGTTGGCCTCAAACTCACAGAGATCACCTGCCTCTGTCTCCTGAGTGCTGGGATTAAAGGCGTATGCCGCTATGCAGGGCTTGGATAGGACAGTCTTATAAAGGCATTTTCCCAGCTGAGGTTCCCTCTTCCCAGATGATTCTAGCTCATGTCAAGTTGACAAAACTAACCAGTCCCACAGCTTGACCAGATTCTGCTGTGTCCCAATAGGCATGCCAGATTTCCTGGAGAAGCTGCACACGGCCACTCTGAAAGCCAAGAACATGGAGATCAAAGTGAAGGACTACATCTCAGCCAAGCCTCTGGAAATGAGCAATGAGGCCAAGGCTACTGCTCCTTCCTCCGAGCGGAAGAATGAAGGAAGCTGTGGCCCAGCTCGGATTGAGTATGCTTGAGGGCCTTTGGGATAAGGAAAGACAGGCACTTCTGGCCCTACCTTGCTCCCTCAGCTCTGCTGCAGGACAGAGACAAGTTATACATGTTAGAGGACATCTGCTGTAATCATCAGTGGGGGAGAACTGGAGTTAGATTTCACTTGGAGCCCTACTGCTCTTTACCAAGCAGAAAGCACCGGGACAGTGTGGAGTCATGGTCTCAGGCCAGCTGTTGTGAAATCCAGTATCATGCTGAATTAATCTGGAACAAACCTCTCACATTAGGCCAGAAGGGGATGACTTCCGTCTGCCTCCTCCGAGAAGCTTCCTTGCTGACATTCCACAACCATTGGTTGTGCGGCGTTCCGGATACCCTTCATTTCTGTAGGTCACTTAGAAAGCGGTTGGCCCTGGGTTCTCACTAAGGGGTCTCTTGGAGTGTCCTTGGTAACAGTCTGTGATGGCGTGAACAATTCTGGCTAAGCTAAGTGCCTTGTCCTCACCTTGCTTTATCTTAGAGACATGAAGTTTGTACCAAGGGATCCTTCCCCCTGAAAAATACCATGACATAGACTCATCTGATCAGAGCAGTTAACTGCCCATCTTAACTGGCCTTACTTTGTTCATGGGCTGTGCTCACTGGATCATGGCCTCTGCCGTAGCCTCAGCCCATTTGCCAGGAGCACCGTAGATGTAAACCCCTTTAGATAGTAGCTTTCTACTTGATGTCATCAGTGTTTTGATAGCATCAGTGGAAGTGTGCATAAAGCATCTCATTTTAAAATAACTAGATTTCTTTCTAACCCTTGTAGCAAAATGGAGTTGGAGTTGAATACAACTCCTCCATACTCTTATTTGTTTGGCCGCTATTTTCTCACTGCAGATTGACTGGGCCTTCCTGGAGGGCTAAAGGTAGTGCATGGTGGTTGTGCCATTTCCTTAGTTTTCAAAACTGCAAGCTGACATGTGGGCCAGCAGGTGGAGTCTTGGCTCATACCAATGTGGTAGGGATGAGGCTTATGTGACCCTCTTGATCCATTCAACGTTTCTCTCCAGAGCTGATACAGAAGTGATATGCACAGTTTGGATAAGATCACAACCAGATGGTAGGGCCTGGCCATGTTGGTGTCTTTATGGTGAATAGGGATCAAGTTTTACATCTTTCTCTCTTTTTCTGGAGTTCATATAGCTGAATTGTTCTTTTCTCCTGCTTGCTACCCTGTTGTGCTGTAAAAGGAAGCTAAACCCAAGGTGAACTTAACCCTTTTAACCTTCTTGTTGCCTATTTGGTTCTGTGCCAAGGAAACAACTAACTCCCCCAGTGTTTGTTTTTTCAGTTGTTGCCAGAGCAGAGAGTGAACTGAACAGTCGGTGTCTTTCAGTGAGCGTTTCTCCCTTCTCTCCAGGACCTGACAGAAGGAAACCTTTTATCTGAATATAGCACCTGTAATTGAATGTGTGTGAGTGTGTGAGTGCATGTGCACACGTGCGTGTGCTGGGGCGAGGGTACTAAACAGTTATGGTTGCCCTTTGTTCTGACTTAACAGTGTTTGGACTCTGTACAGTTACTTGTATCATCATAATGAGTTTGCTCTTAACTGTGACATTTTTATCGAATGGGTGAATAAAGATTGGTACAGAAGACTGTTTCTCTTTGGCCACACGGTGGGGAGATTGTGTGCACTGGGCTGTTTGTCATCCTGATCACAAAGTTGGCATGGGAAATTGGTGGACCTTACTCTTTCTTGGCAGGTCATGGGTGACAAAAAGCTAGCTACCTGGCATAGACTGTGGCCCCTGAGTGGCCGGCTTGGGAACTGAAGATAAAGTGCCTGTTTCTAGTATTTTGATCTACTAACTTGTAAATGGAGTAAGAATAAAGTCTAGTTAAGGGAATCCATGTCACATCTTCTATAGACAGGCTTGGTGTCTTATAGGCACTACTAGGACCCAAATTTCTTCAGAGGGAGTGATATATTTGAGAATCTTTGGAGCACAGCAGAATTTTGGCTTTTGTGTGGTTTTTGCCTGTGGGCTGTGCAGGTTGAACAGGCATAAATATATCTGAGCAGCTGAGCAAGCTAGGAGAAACAAGCAGCACCCCTCCATGGCCTCTGCTTCAGTTCAAGCCTCCAGTTTCCTGCCCTGACTTTCTTCAATGACTGACAGTGATAAGGAAGCAAAATCTGGCCTGAATGGAACTGAACTGCATGGACATACAAGGCACACCCCTCTTCCAGGGTATGAAGCTCCTCTCATTTCACAGGACTGGGGGGGGGGGGATCTTGGTTACAAGCTGCAGTGGTGCCTGGCCCTGATGCTATTCTCTCCTTTGGCTCTGGCTTATGTTTCATCTTTACCACCATATTCCCTCTGTATCCTCTTCCTTTGCCCAGAGAGTAGTGTGCAGGCCAATGGGCTCCTGCCAGCAAGTACAGGCTTTTCAGAATAAATTTGTATATTTTTTATCCATCAGTACATATTTAACTGCCACTGATTTAGTTTCAGTTATTGAGCCCATTTTTCTATAAACCCTGTAGGTTTGTGTGTGTGTATTACCCGTTTATTTACCTACTTATGTATCTATCTGTCTGTCTGTCTGTCTATTGTGTGTGTGTGTGTGCTGGCTAGTTTTATCTACTTAACATAAGCTAGTTGTTGGAGTGGAGAGAGCCTGGATTAAGAAAATGCCTCCATAACATCAGGTAGTAGGCAGTCCTACAGGGCATTTTCTTAATTGGTAATTGATGTGGGAGGACTCAGCCAGTTGTGGGTGAGGACACCCCCTAGCTGATGGTCTTGGGTTCTATAAGAAAGCATTTGAGCAAGCTAGGAGAAACAAGCAGCACCCCTCCATGGCCTCTGCTTCAGTTCAAGCCTCCAGTTTCCTGCCCTGACTTTCTTCAATGACTGACAGTGATAAGGAAGCAAAATTAACCCTTTTCCTTTCCAACTTGCTTTTGAACATGGTGTTTCATCATCTGCAAAAGTAGCCCGAACCAGCACTGTGTGTGTGTTCATCCATTCGTCCATCTTCAAATTGAAGGACTATAGGATAAGAATCCAGAGAGGACTCCATAGGCCAGGTGTAGTTAGCTGTAATTTAAATGATGGTGGTTGCAGGTTAAGTGCTAGAGTGAGCTTTTTACTTTGTAATTTTTAATATATCTGAAGGTTGAAAGAATTTTTATAATTACTTTGTATCTCAGGGGATGTAGCTTAGTTGGCAGAGTGCTTATCTAGCCTTGGTGTGATCCTCAGCATTGCACAGTTCTAATCCCAGAGTACAGGTGGAGCCAGGAGACTCAGATATTCAAGGTCAGCCTGGGCTGCAGGAGACTTTGTTACTTTACTCATTGTGACAAAACACAAAAAATGCAATTTGGGGTGAGAGAAGGGCTTATTCTGCCTTACAGTTAAAGGAGATACATTTTGCCAGGACTGCATGATAGCAGGAATGAGAGGCTTGCTGGCTTGGCTGCCTCCCCGTGGAAGCACACAGAACAGGAAGTGGGAGTAGCTGTAAAACCACAAGGCCCTCCCCAGTGACTCACTTCCCCCAGTGGGTTTCAGCCCCGGTAAAGGTACCACAGCCTTCCCAAACAGCACCACCAGCTGGTGACCAAGTGTTCTGACACGGCTATGAAGACCACATCAAACCACAGCAGACCTCAGAAGCTTTGTGTCATTCTCTGGTTAGCAAGCTGCGAGGAGTACTTTCCCTACATAGACCTTTTCAGGGACTGTTTGAAAACAAGTAACAAGCATATACCCCCTATACCCACATAAGAGCATGCTTTTAGTAATACAGATGCCACAGTGCCATAAGCACACAAGAAAACTAGATTGTTACCTTTTTTAAAAAAATTGTGTGTGAGGTGTGTGATAAGTGTTCCTGGGGAGAACAGAGGATAACTCTGGACTTGGTTCTCTCCTTCCACCTTTATCTGGGTTCTAGGGATCAAAACCAGGTCAGGAGACTTGCATAGCAAGTCCTACCCAATTGAGCCCTCTTGCTGGCCCCAGTAGTGTCACCATCTAAGTAATGTAGCTCATGTTAAAATTTCCCCATTTGACTCCCAAATGACTTATAGTTAGTTCCCAACATCCTCTGTCTAATTAAGTATCATTTGTCTTTCTACCCTTAAATTTTTTTTTTGACATTTATTGTGGGGGCCCATAAGTCCCATAGCATGCACAAAGAGGACAGCTTGCAGGAGTCAGTTTTTCAATCACGAGCATTCTGAGGATTGAACTATGGTTGCCCGGCAGCACTTTTACCCACTGAGCCAGCTAGCCAGCCCAACTTTACCTATTTTTTAGTCTAGAACAGTTGCCTGCCCTTTGTAATGTAACATCACCTCGATCTTGGCTATATCTGCTGATTTTTACAAATGCACAGAGCCTTGGCAGCTACCCCCATCCCACCCCAACCATCAGCATCTTGGGGCCAGTTCACTGTAGCACCGGTATTCTAGCGCAGCATGCCCTGAAAGGCAAAGGCAGAGCTCTTCCTAGATTGTGTACAGTTAGCATGTATTTTTAAATCTATTTTATTGGGGTTCTTATGCCTCTACCTCCCTTCACCTCAATCCCTTCTGATACCCCAACACCGGGTAGGAGAGAAAGGTTAGTGGGGAGAGGGGCTGTGCTGCTCTTTAAACTACTTCCTGCTGGTTAGGGTTGTCGGTTTCCTTGGGGCAAGTTTGGTCTTGATAGTCAGGAGATCTCCAACTTCTCATCAAACTGCAACAGTAACCAGGAGCAGCTGGGAAAGCAGCAGCTTTCCTCTTTCCTCCAAACACACCTCTGCCCTTCTCTGGACGCTGGCATTTGTAGCCTCTCAGAGTTCTCAGAATTAAATTTATCTGCAGCTGGCACAAATCATGGCCCTGCTAGAACACAAGACAATCATAGTTAATGGCTGTGGACAAACTGAAACAGCCCCATATTCCACACCTGGGGTTAAAACAAACCTAAGTTTACATAACAAAACTTGGGTTTGGTTTAAAGAAACCAAAACTGCTACAGTGTACTTCCGTGGTAATGTCACGCTGGTGGCTTGGCGTGAGTGCAGAATTGGCCAACACTGATGGTCTCTAAGAACTTGGTGTGCCAGCACTGTGCTTCATGCTTTCTTCTAAGTCGAATGTGTGCCTGTCCTATAATGAGGAACTGTTATCAGAGGTAATGTAATTGTCTTCCTTAGGGCCACACAGGAAGTGATGGAGCCAGGCTGCTGACCTAGCTGTGACCTCCATAGACACCTGATGGCACAGCTTCCCTTGAGGCACTGACTATTTCTGAGGCATCTCCTGTAGCTGTTTTTTTTAACACATCTACAATTATGTTCCTCCCAGGACAATGGCTTGAGTTTGCCTATGAGGTCATCTGAGCGCTGTTTCTGTGTCTGAAGCATTGGTGTCACTTTTCTCACAAAAAAAACTGCATATACATCGGACCTTAAAGGGATGTATGGAGAGCACTCTTGGGACAAGTCTTAAAATACCATTTCGGAGTTCAGTGGTGGTGTTGCACTCCTTTGATCCCAGCACTCACGAGGCAGAGGCAGGTGGATCTCCGAGTTTGAGGCCAACCTGATCCACAGATTGAGTTCCAGGAGAGCCAGCGCTAAAACTGTCTCAAAAAACACAAACAACAACAAACATCTTGGAGGCCAGTGTGATGGCAAGCTTTTAATCCCAGTATTCACTCTGAAGGCAGAATGTTCTACATAGTTCCAGCACTACATAATGAGACACTGCCTTAAAACACACTTAAAGCTTATTTATTTATTTATGCTTTATTTTGAGACATGGTCTAGCCATCTAGCCCTAGTTGGTCTGGAACTTGCTGTGTAGATCAGGCTAGCCTCAAACATTTAGCAGTTACTCCTGCCTCTGCTTCCTGGGTGTTGGTCGTACAGATATGTACCAGTGAGTCCAGTAACACTCTCTAAGTCTTTCTTTTTTGTGTCTAGTCTCTGCCCTTAGCGCGGTAGGGTCTAGATAGTGAAAATAGAACATCTAAGGTCCATTATTTTGAATAAATACACTTAGAAGTCTTAAGCATTAATAATGTGCGTGGGGAGAAAGTCTTACTGCAAGATGTTCTATTCCTATAAACCTCAGTGATTTCATGTAAGCAGAACCCCCTGGCTTCGTACTGTCAAAGATGTTTTCCTCACTTATGGCTAATTATGGCTGCAGATGAACTTAAAGAGGTAAGTAAAAAAACCAGGTGTGGTGTCACACGCTTTTAATTCCAGTGCTTCAGAGGCAGAGGCAGGTGGATCTCTGTGAGTTCAAGGCCAGCCTGCTCTACGAATCAAGTCCAGGACAGCCAAGGCTACACAGAGAAACCTGTCTTGAAAAACGAAAACCAGGTAAGTCACGACCTGACTTTACATCTGTCTAACTTGACCATACCTAAAATTGCAGGACAAGTCTTTAAAAGCAGTAATATTTGCATTTAGACAGTTACTGCATTCTAATGTCCTATGGCTCTGCTCTGCAGGTTAGGATTATGCTGCATGCCAAGGAACAGAAAGCAATAGTGTCGCTGAAATTACTATTGACCTCATGAGCACAGCCAGTCCACAGCTAGTGCAGTAGCTCGTGGGCCCCAGTCCCAGGCCTTTGC